AAACATAATAAGAGAAATATACTGCAACCTAACAATCAACATCAACTTAAATGGAGAGAAACGCAATCCACATCAAAATTCCAACACGTATTTTTATAAACCATGAAATTGCCACTCTGAATATAAAAAACAACCCAGGATAGTCAAAACAATCCTGAACAATGAAAAAAGTTTTGGAAGAATCACCATCCCTGACCTAAATCTGTATTACAGAGCAATAGTGATAAAATCTGCATGTTTTGGTACAGAAACAGACATATTGATCAGTCAAAAAAAATCAAATTAGAGACTCAGTATTAAACCTACATGTTTGGACCTTGAATTTTGATAAAGAAGTCAAAACCATACAATAGAAAAAAAGAAAGCATCTTCAATCAACGGTGATAATCTAACTGGATTTCTATATGTAGAAGAATGAAAATATATCCATATTTATCCCCCTGCAAAAAAAAAAAAAAAAAAACAAAAACTCAAGTCCAAATGGATCAAGGACCAAACATTGAATGGAGCTTGGGAACTCTTATGGAAGAATAGGAGGAAGGATTATGGGCCTTGAAGGAAAGGAACTCCATAAGAAGATCAACATAGTCAGCTAACCTGGGTCCTTGGATATCTCAGAGACTAAACAACCAACCAAAGAGCATAAGTGAGTTGGACCTAGGCCTCACAGCACATATATAGCAGATGTGCAACTTGGCCTTCAGGTGTATCCCAAAAATCTGGAGTTGGAGTTATCCCCAAAACTATTTATTTATGTAGGATATGTTCATCTAGCTAGGTTGCCTTGTCTGGCTTTACTGGGAGGGGCAGTGAGTGGGATATAAAGTGAATAATACAAAACAATTAAAAATAAATATCAGAGTTTGATTGAGGGAGGGAACTGAGTAGGAGAAGAGATGGGGAAGCGAATGGTGAGGACATACTAGGTGTAAGGAGAACAGGAGAGAGGGAATGTAAATCTGGAGTGGGCATGGGAGGTGCATCTCAAGGACTTGTCAGAAAATTGTGAGGGGGAGGCCTCAGGGAGTCTTAAGGGATGACTCTACCTGAAACGTTTAGCAGTGGGGGATATGAAGTCCTAAATGGTCACCTCCTATAGCCAGACAGCACTCTCAGTGGACGAAAATGCAAAGCAATTCAACCACGAATCTTTCAACTCAATATGTGTCCTGCCTACAAGATGGGCTGGGACAGAGATGAAACAGAGATTGAGGGAATGAACAGCCAATGACTGGTCCAAATTAAGACCCATTCCATGGGGTAAGAACGAATCCCTGACACTTTTAATGTTATTCTGCTGTGCTTTTAGAGGGCATACTAGAATAACTGAACTCTGAGGTGTTTCGCCTAGTAGCAGATGGAAACTGATGCAGAGACCCACAGCCAAATATTAGATGGACTTGGGGAGTCTTGTGGAGTAGTTACGGGAAGGAATGAGAAACTGGAAGAAGATAGGGATTCTACAGAAAGACGCACAGTGTCAACTAATCAGAGCCCTTGGAAACTCCCAGAGACTGAACCATCAACCAAAGAGCTAGAATCTTTCTATTTATTCTTATTACAGTTTGTTTATACAATCTAAACTAACTTATAAAGAAAGACAGGTGCCTTACATGTTGGAACAGTGAATCGTCTTTAACTGAATTGTGGGAACTTCACATAACATTCTTATATTAATGTAGAAATTTATAAGATCTTTGATAGCTTATATGTTCACAGAGCAAAACAACCAGAAAACTATCCCTGAAAACACTGGGGATGCTGAGGCACTGAGGCGTATTTATTCTGGCATCCTGCCTGATCCTACCTCAGGTTGTCTTAATAGCTATTTCACCAAAACCTGCTTCCAGTGCACCTTCAAACAAAGACACTGACCCCAGCTCATCCAATTCATCCAGTTTTTGTATTCTGTTCTAGTCAGGGCTTCTGGTAATCCTGGAACTGTCTCAGCACTTAGACACTGGACAGCAAATGTTACAGCTACCTTTCTTATTATTTGAAAATTTCCCACGTTTCTTGGGTCACCCAAAAGGAAAACTGCATACAAAATCAGTAGGAAGCAATTTGCTTAAGTTTATTCATTTATTTGTTCACTTTACATCTCAATATCCATCTTTGTTCTCCCCCAGACAACATTTCAATAGGTTTCCCCAGTCCCTCCTCCTTTTCTTTAGGAAGTGGGCGCCCCCACCCTTGAGTATCATCCAACCTTGGCACATGAAATCTCTGTAACATTAAGCTCATTCTCTCACACTGAAGCCACACAAGGAAGGTCAGTTAGGATAATGGGATCCACAGGCAACCATTAGTTTCAGGGACAGCCCCCACTGTTCTTGGATGGTCTACATAAAGACCTAGCTGCCCATCTACTACATATGCTTCAGGGCCCTATGTCGAGCCCATTCTAGCTCTTATCCATAATAAATAGAAAGATGGCATGACAAGTCTTGAAGATTTTTGTAGCCAAAGATTTATTGGCCATACATAGCTGTGGTTCTGGCTGGAGACATTTTATGTCTCCTTCAATCTCAGAGCTGTTTTCAAGTGGAGGGATCAACAATTCATGTTTCCTGGCCTGTTCGGTCTTCTTGACTTCTTTCTACCTAACTGCAGTCAAGATCTTTAAGGGGGTCTTTCCAAGTCATACAACTGAAAGGAATCTATAGCTTTTCTTTTCTTGTGGAAATATATTATAAACTTTCCCCTATAGTGACACATTTCCTTCCCTCCATTCAGAAGTTAATTTATACCTAATAGACACAGGCTAATTTAGTTTAGCAGATTTTTTCCATAATCCAAAGATTTTCAGAAGCTGTTGTTTTGTTCTTTAGCATTCAAGAGATTTAAAGTCAATAACATATTTTATACTCTATCTCTGGGAATCTTTGTTACCCCTTTCTGTTTAACATGCATTTCCTTTACTGTCCTGTTAGATATCTCCATAATTGCTTGTCCTGTAAGAGTGCAATATGTATCTGTAACATTTTCTATCCAACAATATAAAAAAATCCTGATTTATTCGAATAGTTACACATGTTGAAGAGCCCTCAGCCTCAATCTGTAAAGGCATGTCCATGATAGCCATTGTCTCTACAAAATGTACAATCTCAGAATCATCCCTTTCAGAACTTAAGTAAGAAATCCTTCAGAATTGTGACTAAGTACATGTTTAAATTCACCAAACTCTACAAAATGAAACATATAATCTATAATATGACACTGCTCTAAGATAGCATCATTAAACAGATTCTCCATTCTTAACTCAGAATATTATATCTCTATGGGCTTCCATTCTGATTCTTCAAGCCTTTGTGATTTATTTTTTTTTTAAATTGAGGACATCATTTTCTGCTTTTGCTGTAGGTTCCAGATCCCCTTATTTCTGTTCCATAGCATCGAATTTTTCAGTCTCTTCTATCTCCCAGTCTGCCATATTCTCATCTCTCCTAAACAGAATATACAAAATAGTAAACATTATTGAAAAAATAATCCATTTGTATGCTGACAAGTGAAATAAAATTATATGTAATCTAGAGGCATTGCACACTGTGTTACTTTCCATTTTAAAAATTATATTTTTCTTTTAATCTGTAAATCTCTTCTTAAGGGTTTCAGATTCTTATTTTTAAACCAAATATTTCTTCTTATTATTTATATGCTCAGTATGCCTTCTCTTTTATTGTTTTTAAAACTTTTTTATTGTTAACTTGCGTGGACAGATGGCCAGCTTCTCAACTTTCATCTCATACTGTTTTAATGCAACCTCAGCTATTTAGCTAGCTCATGGAGTGGGCTACTGCCTCATCCCAATAATCTGATCACAAGGGAAGGGATGGAAGAGGCCAGCCAGAAGTTCTGGGCCCATGTGCATCACCAGAGGTGACAGTGCTTTGGGGAAAACCTGAGAGAAACTGCCCTGAAGTTCTGGCACCTGCCATCTGGGTTAGCTTTCCTGGCACAATTGCTAAAGCTGCTCTGGCTCTAGTATGGGCCACAGTGAGCATCTGAGTCCCTGCTGGCCAGCAGGCTATGAGTCTGTCATTCCACTGCTGTTCTGGGAAGCTTTTCACCTTGGGGCATGCCTGAGGCTCCAGTCTGCTTTCACTCTCCTTTAAAGAGACCATTCTTCATGTCCCATCAGCAGATTGTCTCAGACTACAGTTCCTCTCCTCTAGCTGCTATTTACTGGCCTCTGCTAAACTGTTCACCTCAACGTTGCTAGCCTGGCTTTCTGATCTGATTCCTATCTCTCGAAATTTTACATAAAGCCTAAATCTAGTGTCCTAATCTTGGATTTTGTGCCAGATGGCAAGTGCCATTGTTTTATGGCATGTTTACCATAATCTGTGCTCCTGATCTCAGAAACAATGACTCTGAGTCTTTATTATATTTACAAACATCTTCACCATGAGCTTTGGCTCATTCTCTGACTGACTCATAACTTAGTATCTATCTCATTTACTCTATTCTAACTTCTGTCATATGGCTGGTTGCCTGTCCTCAGTTTCATACAATCATTTTTCTTCTGCCTCTGGGGAGAATCTTCCCACACCTTACTTAATCCCAAAACTCCTCTATACTGGAACATCCACTGTCCTATTTCCTGCCTAAGCTCATAGGCCAATAGCAGTTTATTGACAGGCGAATACTTTTTTTTACAATGAAAAATAACATTATACCAACACCTTCAAATCTCCAGTTTTGCCTCACTTCATTGTGCTCACACCCTTCTGTATGTTTCTTTCTCTTCTATTTCTCTATCATTTGCTTTCTCATCTTAGTGGTCCCCAGACTTTCTAAATATCTGGAGTCATCTCAGGACTGGTCACCAGAGTGCTCTACCCCGCTCATTCCTATGGCACCAGGCAGGGGACATTGTGGGCATGATCTACTCCTCCAGGTCTGCCTGTTGCTGAATTGGTGGTTATCTCAGGCTAGATCCCTGTCTGGGCGATCTGATTCCAAACTAGTCATCTCAGGCTCACCTTTTATTTTCAGGGAATGTTAGGCTACTATTGATTCAGTTGTTCATAGATCAGAACACTCAGTGTAGACATAGTCTTCCTTCTCTCTGCCATCTTCAAATGCACATATGACACAGCAACAACACCTAAAACACCTCTAAGGGCAGGCTGCATAATTACTATTGGGTGGTGAGTTAATTTGCACTGTAGGTGGTATAATTCTTCTACTGATTTTCCCGCCCACTGAATAGACAAACTCAACTCATTTGTTTTCTGCCACAGGTGAAATTTCATTCATATATATCGAACACCCTTCGTTAAATAGAATTAAAAGAATCCCTCAGTTGACATACTTGGGGAGTACTAGTCTACCCATAACCGTGGTTTCTGGACCCATTTACTTTTAAGTAGCAAGTTTCCTCACAGCTTCTCATTTCTCCACTAGAGAAATGTGTTCAATTTCTCTACTAGTAAGTTCTGAGGTTTTGTTCACCCTCTCAGACAGATGTCTGAGAGGGGAGACTGCAAGTGACCATCCTTAGTCACAGTTTTATACATTCAGAAAGAATCAAAATGCATAATTCCTGGACAGATGGCCTTGTGTCACTGGGGTGTGACACTGGCAGTGTTTGGCTGGTAGTGAGCACATGCTCTCCCACTTCAGGATAAACAAACCCAGTGGCGCAGCTTTGTTTATCAGCAGGGGTTAGTGGGGAGAGGTAGGTGACAAGTTTATTTTCTTGACATCTTCCATATGGGTCTTGGGTAATATACCCATGCTATCTCAAGTTTAGAATATTTGCCTTTAACATATGTACTTCATGGCCTAGGGATCATTGCATGGCCTCAAGACCAGAGACTAGGACACTTACTCTGAGTTAATATCATATCTCTGGGTGGAATTCGATGATTTACATCCCAGATGAGCTTTTCCTCAATCCATTTAATCTCCAATTAAAATCAAACTCCAATCTATCCAGTTTGTGCCAAATGTTAAACAGAAATGCCAGGTATGTGGTTAGCTGTCATTCACTCTCAATACTTGGCCTTATGTTAATCAAGAGTTTTGGTTGAAGGCTCAGTTTTATGTACCATCTCCTGTGTAGTTTTCAGTTTCTTTACAAGCTTCTGTACTTCCTTTGAAGAAAAATGCCATTTTCAAGACTCAAGACCAATTATTCGTAGATGACTCACTATAATCATTACAGCTAGGTATACATCCCTTCTAATCAATAATATACATTATAAATATTCCTAGGTAAATATGTGAGGCACTCACATGCAGAATCTAAGCTTCATTATTTTGGATGATACCTTTCTTTGCTTTTTGAGTCACTCTCCCTGGTTTTAAACTCCAGCTGAGTTCCCATACATTCCCCTTCTTTACAGACTAAGAAAATCATGAATAATTCACAGGCATTCCATTTGCCACACAGTAGGTCTGCAGTACTATCCACATGAGAAATCCAGGTAATGATTGGGGTTTAGTCATTTGGAGCTTCACTGTACAAGCTGATCTGGAGGAACATATTCTTTGCTAGAGGATGGAGGTAGTCAATTCAGGTGAATGTGATATGTTCCCCTCACATTCCTGCATCTGGATACTTGATGTTCAGATCAAATCGTATGTTTTAGAACCTTTGAGTATTTTCTTCTGATTTTAGATTCATTAGGAAACTTGACTGACAGAAGGAGTCATACTGGAGTTGGATGTGCTTGCTGTCCAAGGTATGCTTCCTGGCGATCTTCACAGGACAAAACTCCCACGTGAGGCTGATCCTTCTGCTACCATCACTTTACCCCCATTGGTGGACCATTATCCATGTACTTTGAGCCCAAACACATGCATCCTCTCAATTGATATGTTACATATTAATTTGCTATTAACATGCTCTATTAATATCCCTATTAATATGCATTTTGTTACATAGAGGAGAACAGCAACTACAAGTAAGGAAAAGCTTGGAAAAATAGCAAGTGCCAGTGTTCAAAAGATGTATGACCTGATGGCTTCCAAGAAGCAACAGTTTTATGTTTTATAAAAACATGAGGACAGAGGTCAGTTTCCACTTCACTCCCTGTGACAATAATGTCAAATTTGGGGAAGGGGCTGATGAGATGGCTGAGAATGTCGGAGTCATAGTCTTTTATTACAGGCCTCAAGTCCCTGAAATGTCTGGCTTTATGAAAAGTGATGAAGCTGTGGGAACTGATAGTATATGATGGAGGGGGATGAGAGGGAAGAGGGCGAAGAGAACTACCACCTCCAGAAATCAGAACTGTTCTTCAGTAAGAACTACAGAAGGGCCACAGTCTGTCTGCAGAAGGGAGATTGTGGGGATGTGGTATGGAGAGGTCTTGCGTCTTTATGGGGTAGAAAGGAGGGAACTTTGGGGGAAGGAAAAGTCCATCAGCACACAGTTTTCCTGTGGTCTGGAAGTGTTGGGAGATGCTGGCAATTTTGATATGTGGATCTTCTCATTAGAATTTTCCACAGGAGTCTTCAATCAATTCCATTTTCCTGCCCAGTGTTCCTCAGTCCAACTGAGGCTTTCGATAATTAGCTCTTCAGGAACTAGCTAATTTCTTTTCTTGTTGCTTTGAATTGACACATAAGATACCAGAGCATGGCCTAGTGTGACATGACCGCCTAAGACTACATCCCCATTTTATATAAAATCTGTTCACCACCTCTTAATATTTTCTTCCAAAAGAGAACCAAATCATCATGATAAGTTCATATACTTTATACATTTGTGGGGGCCAAACAAGAATAATTGAAAAACTCATATTCAATATGAAAAGAGAAAAATGATATAGATGTATGTTTAAAACTGCATTCCAAAAATGAATGGCTGATTAGTGTAAACATGAAGATTATAACGTCACATGAAATAGTCCCTGTGTTAGTACATCTAAGGAATGAGCAGAAGGCCTGCGTATACGAGCACTGGAACGGAGTTACTCAGAACTTCAAAGTCATCTTTCCAAGCTGTCAGAACTGCAGGGTGCCTCATTCCAAAATCACATTGGGATCTTGTCCACATAGAATGCAGAAATAGACAAGTAGGTTTGACAGAGTTGCCAAATTTTATGCTATGCACCAAATCCAGGTAGCAACCTATGATTTTAAATGAAAACAAGAACAAAGCACAGCTTACTGTTTTCTGTACTGTCTATAGCTGGTTCTAGGTTACAATAGAGAGCCTGAGCAGTGGTAGCACACCCTGCCAATTCCACACAATTTGACATTTAGCCTCAAGAGTTGTTTGATGCCATGTTATGATTAGATGACATGAGAATTATACTATGTCATGTATGAATGTTTTAAGTACTAAGAGTATTGAGATCAAATATCTAGCAAAAATATCTTCCAATATTTTATGTTCATAATATATTCACCAAGAAATCTTCCTAGCTTAAGAGAAATCAAACACTATTTCTTAAGAAAAGAAAATGTGCCTTCAAAATCTTGAATGTGTCACTTGACATAAAAGAAAATAAAACTCCACATTAAAAGAGGGGCAAGAAAGTTCTTAAATAAATATATTTTATCTTCAGAGTAAAGAAAATTTCATCCATGTGGGTGGGCACATGAATGTTACACACAAAGAAGAGGAAAAGAAAGTAATATTAAGTGGTAATTCTGACTACGGCCTTTTCATAGCAGGTATCTTGGTACCTTGTTCTTCAGAATGGAGATGACTTATCAGTTCAATGAGCATAGACTGAGTTTTGAATTTTGATAATTAAAAAAATGATATTCTGATTTTCTTTCTCGGGATGTTCAGAATTAAAATGGTGACAAGCCTGAGGCATCCAGGGGATGAGGCTGGGGGCTGGAAGCTTATGGGAGAAAGTGAAGAGAGAAAGGAAGAAAAGGAGACAGGCAGGACAGGAAGCTCTTGAGTTTATAGGCATATAAGAAATCACAAGTGGACAAAACAAGGTTTGTTTAAAAAAAAAAAAACTAATCTAAAAATCCAGATACAAATTTTGCTTTATCGTCAAATAAAATAAATCAGATGTAGATACTCAATAAACACATTTCAATATGTAGATAATTAACAAATATATTTTAATAAATGAATGAATGTTTCTCTGAACTCATGACTTTAAAACACTTGGTATAATTTTGGTTGTGAGCCTAGCCTTTAATGGCTGGGCCATATCTCCAACTGAAAAAGGAAATAACAATTGAAATGTAAATAAATAAATTATACAATTAAAAAATAAAAAAATAGAAGTAAAAAGTATAAACAACAACAAAATAAACCCTCTTTAGGAAATATCAGAATTCCTGATATTTAGGGGGTTTGTTGTTGTTGTTGTTGCTTTTTGTTGTTTCTGTTGTTATTGTTTTTTTGGTTTGTTGATGCTGCAATTTTGTTTTGTTTTTGTCCAGTTGTTGCTAACTTAAATCTCACACTAAAATTGCAGATCACTATTTTCTAGCACATTTCTTCCCCTTTCTATGTTATATAGTTCATGGAAAAAAATATTACTACTCACACTACTGCTTGAATAAATATACAAAGTACACTCACATTTCACTTTCAGCTATCGGTTATTTTAATGTTTTATAAATTCCTGTGCAGCATCATACACACACACACACACACACACACACACACACACACACACAGCTCTGATAACTACTACAGCTGAGTCATCCTGTGCCTCATCTAAATTTTGCAAACAGATTCTCAATGGATGGAATAAGTCATACATACCCAGTCTACACACTGCACACACAACTTTCTATGTATCCACTTGATCACTTCTTAATACTGCATTAAACAATGAAAAGCCTTTTTGTTAGCTCCAGGACAGCACTTTAGCTGTTTAGCTTGATCTGTGAGGACCTCTAACATTGAGCTTGCACTGATGGATCAAGGTGCTGTGTCTTTCAGTCCATTGTTGTTGACTGTTACTCTGACAGAATGTTATCCTTTTGACATATCAGTTCTAATTCCTAAGTGGGAAGATGGAGCTCCATAGAAATCTGTCCATGGATCTATCAGAGGATGCAATCTCAACAATTCCTTGAATTCCCAAATCCATCCTGATTAATTCATATCACATTCTGTTAATTGTCTCCGTACCCTGAAAGTAGAATCAGTCTGGGCACATCAGTCATGACTTCATTACGTTTCTGTCACTAGAGA